AAATAATATAAAACGTAGTTGTATCAGTCCTAGCTTGAATTTATGTGGGTTAGTGAATTGCTTAAGAAAAATGGAGTACATAATATATACTTGTATAATAAAAAGCCCAAAGACTTAAGCCCATTTGGAACAGAACCCTAGCCGCCACCCTATGTACTATTGTGTAAAACAGAAGAGAGGAGAGAAAAAAAACTACTCCTAAGAAATAAAATCAGAAGAGAGAGAAAATGCATTGGAAATATCGGGAAGAAACCATTGAATGTTGCACAAGAAGAATAACCGCTTAGCTGCTACCAAAGTCGCCTCCTTCAGCGATCCAAATCGCGAACCCCAGCGACCCAAGTCGCGTTTGTTCCGCGTTCCGATACGCGCGACTCAGTTCGCGATTCGAGGCTACGTACCGCGAACCTTGTAAGGAACATGATAAATTGGATGCTTAAAGGCTAATTGGATGGTTTCACCCACCCAATTAGACTCTCGGAGGTTATTAGGGTCTATAGGTAGCTTCTCGGTAATTTTTGTTTCCGGGTAAAAAAAAGTCAAAAATTGGAAAAATTAAAGTCTATATAATACACACTTTTTTGCAAATTTCGGGACCCGGTGTCGAAAGTCTCGAGATACATCCTAGGGTCATTTAATGTCGTTTGAAACCATATATGATCATTATATGTTGCCATAAATGTTTGTGGTTGCCTCGAGTTTATGAAATCGATGCGAGTTGTAAATGGATAAATTGACATTTTGAAGGTATATTGGATGATTTTACCCACCCAAATGGACTCCTAGGGTATATTAGGGTCCGTGGGAAGTATCTCGGCAATTTTTATTTCCGGGTCTAAAAAAGTGAAAAATTGTCTAAAATTAAAGGTCATAATACACGAAATCAGAGCAATTTTGTAGGTGTCCGGACCAGGTGTAAAAAATTCTCGAAATTTTACGGGATGCATCCTGAGTAATTATGATGTTGTTTGGACTCATATAACACAATAAGTCGGCTACATAAAGGCCCCCTGAGATACAAGGGGATACATCACAGAGTTATTTAATGTCGTTTGAAACCATATATGATCATTATATGTTGCCATAAATGTTTGTGGGTTTCCTCGAGTTTATGAAATCGATGCAAGTTGTAAACGGGTAAATTGACAGTTTAAATGTATATTGGATGGTTTTTCCCTCCCAAATGGACTCCAGGGTATAATAGGGTCCGTGGGAAGTATCTTTGTAATTTTTATTTCCGGGTCTAAAAAAGTGAAAAATTGTCCAAAATTGAAGGCTATAATAAACGAAATTAGAGCAATTTAGTAGGTGTCCGAACCCAGTGTAAAAAATTCACCGAATTTTTAGGGATGCATTGATCCCGAGGTCGTATGATGTTGTTTGGACACATATACAACTATAAGTCGGCTATAAAAAGGCCCCCGTGAAAGCTTTTAGCCAATATAAGTGGGGTGTACGGAACATGGTAAATTGGATAGTTTCTCCCACACAATTGGACTCCCGGAGGGTGTTAGGGTCTATAGATCTTCTCGGCAATTTTTGTTTTCGAGTCCAAAAAAGTCAAAAATTGGCAAAATTAAAGGCTATGATACATGTTTTTTTGGTGAATTTCAGAGGTTTCAAGACCCAGTGTCGAAAAGTCTCGAGATACTAGAGATTCCATCCCAAGGTCATATAATGTCGTTTGAAACCATATATGATCATTATATGTTGCCATAAGTGTCCGTGGTAGCCCTAAGCTTATTAAATCGGTGCAAGTTGTAAATGGGTAAATTGACAGTTTGAAGGTATATTTGATGGTTTTACCCACCCAAATGGACTCCCGGTGTGTATTAGGGTCCACGGGAAATATCTCGGCAATTTTAATTTCCGGGTCTAAAAAAGTAAAAAATTGTCCAAAATTGTAGGCTATAATACACGAAATCGGAGCAATTTAGTAGGTGTGAACCCGATGTTCGAAATTTACGGAAATTTACGGAAATTTACGGGATGCATCTCGAGCTCATATGATGTTATTTGAGCCCATATACAACCATATGTCGGCTACATTAAGGCCTCGTGAAAGATTACAGCCAATACAATTGGCGTGTACGGAAACTGGTAAATTGGATGCTTGAAGACAAATTAGATGGATTCACCCACCCAATTGGACTCCCGGAGGGTATTAGGGTCTATAGGTAGATTCTCGGCAATTTTTGGTTTTTGAGTCAAAAAAGTCAAAAATTGGAAAATTTGAAGGCATCCACGCTTTTTGGCCAATTTCAGAGGTTTCGGGACCCGATGTCGAAAAGTCTCGAGATACCATGGGTTAAATTCCAGGATCATTAAATGTTGTTTGAAACCATATATGATCATTAAATGTTGCCATAAATGTTTGTGGTTGCCTCGAGTTTATGAAATCTGTGCAAGTTGTAAATGGGTAAATTGACAGTTTGAAGGTATATTGGATGGTTTTACCCACCTAAATGGACTCCCGGGGTATATTAGTGTCCATGGGAAGCCTTTCGGCTATTTTTATTTCCGAGTCTAAAAAAGTGAAAAATTGTCCTAAATTGAAGGCTATAGTATACGAAATTGGAGCACTTTAGTAGGTGTCCGGACCTGGTGTTAGAAATTCACGGAATTTTACGGGATGCATCCCGAGGTCATATGATGTTGTTTGGACCCACATACAACCATAATTCGGCTATATAAAGGCCCCTTGAAAGCTTATAGCCAATACAATTAGCGTGTATGGAACTGGTAAATTGGATGTTTAAAGGAAAATTGGATGGTTTCACCCACCCAATTGGACTCTCGGAGAGTATTAGGGTCTATAGGTAGCTTCTCGGCAATTTTTGTTTTCGGGTAAAAAAAAAGTAAAAAATTGGCAAAATAGAAGGCTATAATATACGCTTTTTGGTCAATTTCAGAGGTTTCGGGACTCGTTGTCGAAAAATCTAAAGATACAAGGGGATATATCCCATGGTCATATAATGTCGTTTAAAACCATATATGATCATTATATGTTGCCATAAATGTCCGTGGTAGCCTCGAATTAATGAAATTGGTGCAAGTTGTAAACGGGTAAATTGATAGGTTGAAGGTGTATTGAATGGTTTTACCCACCCAATTGGACTTCCGGGGTGTATTAGGGTCCATGGAAAGCATCTCGGCAATTTTTAGTTCGGGTCTAAAAAAGTGAAAATTGTCCAAAATTAAAGGCTATAAATACACGATTTCGGATCATTTTTGACATTTTTTCGAAAACTGAACTGAATACATGGGGTGACTCCCGAGGTCATATAATTTGGTTTGAAATCATAACCCGACTTTAAAGATGTCTATAAAGTAACAAGAATGATTTATGTTTTCTATAAAGTAACAACTGATAAAGCCAAAGTGTTGGGGTGTGGGATGGTGCAAGGGGGCGTGTGGCATGTGCACAAGACATGTGCACCCAAGGACAAGGCATACAAACAACTAGTTTTGTCATTTGAGGGTATGTCATCTTTGCCTTAAGACATGGTGATTAAGGATGAATGAGATGGTTCTGGGCATCATCCATGACTCCCAAGGCCCTTTGCGAACCCGTGGAAGTACTTGGATGCATAATCTTGGCGGGTGAAAAAATGATGTACGGAAACCAAATTTGAAGGCTATACATGAAATCGGAGCAATTTAGTAGGTGTCCGGAACCGGTGTCAGAAATTCACGGAATTTTACGGGATGCGTCCCGGGGTTATATGATGTTTTTGGACCCATATACAACCATAAGTCGGCTACATAAAGGCCCCGTGGAAGCTTATTGCCAATACAAGTGGCGTGTACGGAAATTGGTAAATTGGATGCTTAAAGGCAAATTGGATGGTTTCACCCACCCAATTGGACTCCCGGAGGGTATTAGGGTCTATAGTTAGCTTCTCGGCAATTTTTGTTTCCGGGTAAAAAAAAAAAGTCAAAAATTGGCAAAATTGAAGGCTATATAATACACGCTTTTTTGGCCAATTTCAGAGGTTTCGGGACCCGTTGTCGAAAAGTCTCGAGATACTAGGGGGATACATCCCAGGGACATATAATGTCGTTTGGAACCAAATGTGATCATTATATGTTGCCATAAATGTTCGTGGTAGCCTCGAGTTTATAAAATCGGTGCAAGTTGTAAACGGGTAATTTGACAGTTTGAAGGTATATTGGATGGTTTTACCCTCCCAAATGGACTCCCCGGGTGTATTAGGGTCCATGGGAAGCATCTCGGCAATATTTATTTCCGGGTCTAAAAAAGTGAAAATTTGTCCAAAATTAAAGGCTATAATATACGATTTCGGGTCATTTTTGACATTTTTTCGAAAACTGAACTGAATACATGGGGTGACTCCCGAGGTCATATAAGTTGGTTTGAAACCATAACACACCTATAAAGATGTCTATAAAGTACCAAGAATGATTTATGTTTCTATTTTGATATTTTAGAATGTAATGGTGTCACAAAAGTATATTGAAGTTATATTACTTGACAATAATGATGTCATATAAATATAATTATGTCATATGAATATAATGATGTCATAAAAGTATATTGAAATGATGTGAGTTGACAATAATGATGGAAGTGATACTACTTGACAATAATGATGTCATATAAGTATATTGAAATGATGTGACTTGACAATAATGATGTCATATGAATCTAATGATGTCATAGCAGTATAATGATGTCATATTATGTAATTATATTTATAATCATGTGATGTCATAATATGATGGGATTTGACAATAGTGATGTGATGTGACTTCACACTATGGTTTGGAATCGGAAAAAAAACACATGTTATATATGATGTAACTATGGATAATCATACTACTATTCACATGTGTGTTGATTGATGTGTTGATTGATAGACTATTGATAGTAATAATACTTTTGTGGAATCATCATACTAGTACTATTCATGTTTGTAATCCAAGTAAAATTTTGTGATACAATGAATAAGTAATTATCTTGCTTGCTTTTCTTGCAGTTGCACAAGCAATGTGGCCAGATTCAATCAATCAGCATGTTGGAGGACTACCTCAAACAATCTTCGGAAGCTGATCTTACTGTCGTTGATATGTTGGCTTTGTTATGCATGGAAAGGAATGAGTTTATGAGAGCTCTTCACCACATTGAGAATGTCAAGGTGGTCTGTTGTCGTTCTGGAAAAGAGTTCCCGTTAATGTTTGAAAATTAAGTGAAGGTGTTTGTCATGCTCATCTTGGGAAAGTAGAGAAAGCAATGGTATGGTGTTTGAATGTTATCATACAACTTTAAGCATTATATGCTGATGGTTAATTTAATTAGTTTCTGTTTTCGAAATGTGACTACCAATAATACAGTCACATAGCAAAGGAAAGGTAACACATCATTGAGTCGTAAACATAGGTTACCCAAAAACCTAGGCTATTGTTACACAAGTAGCTCAACTGCCCCTTTGAGTTAAGGGTGTTGCTTTGGAGGGAATCACAAAACCTAAGCTATGGCATTACAAGGCTCAGTAAAATCAATTAACTTCAATAGGGTATGACTGGTTTCAATTTACATCAACTCAGGCTTGCTCATATGTTACATCTAGCATTTTTTATGATACTTCGGTGTCTGTTTTTCATGTGAGTGATGGGGTTGCATTCCTGTCTTGTAAATCTGACTGCCTCTTTCTATTTCCTATACTTTCAGGCAAAACAAATGTCAAGGCTCCGAAGTTGTGAACCACCAGAGAGAAACATTTTAGATCCTGAAAATGTTGATCTGTGAGTATTTGAATCCTTTGCATGTAATTTTCCATGCATGAAGCCATGAAGTTTTGCTCCATTTATTCATCAATCTTCATCCTCTGAACCTTCCAATAATGGCATCAGCTGGTGCTCAGCTTCTCACTAATAAAACTGTTTCGACTTATGTCTGAATATCTTCCCCGCCTTCTCCACCCACCACCACGACAAACGGACATAGTGCATTAGGGATTGCCTTGTCAAGCTCTTGTTTTCATACTGCTGGCCGGCTGGTGGCTAGCTGCTGTCTATTTGAAGTTGTATTTTGCTAATACTAATTACTACATGTGGATACGCAACCCTATTCTTTTTAGAAAATGGTTGAACTTCTAAAAATCTTGATTTAGGTTGAAAGCAACTGGAAGATCAAAAGAAGAGATATCTGATTGATTTCAATTTGTGTACTTTATGATTGATCAATATACTTTTGTTTTGGATGTGTTCTGCAGCAACCTCTGAAGCAGCCTCCATTGCCTGACCTCTTCAAGGACAAGGAGCATTCAGCTTTGATCTTAGATGTCAGTCTTCATATCTTATGTTATACTAATACTTCTTGCTTGAATCATGGAGCTTATAAAGCTCACTTTGAAAGTAGCTTACAAGACATTGCCTGCTGGGAAGAAGGAACTGTTTGGTCTCTCGGTGCAAGTAAGTATTAAACACAATATTTACTTTCACCCTATTCTGTTGTGGCTCTTTTTACTTTGAATGGACCTTCCCTGTCGACTGTCATTTGGTTGACCCTTAGTATGCTCAAGTTTGGTTTACTAAGATACTGAGGTGCTTTAGCAGCCTATGTTGTGTCATTAACAAGAGGCATCTTGTATGCTTCTGTTTATTTTCTCCCATAGATGAAGCATCTTCTTTCTTTGCAGAAGTAGCATTGAGCAGCATTGACCCCTTGGAGGGGTTTGACTTTGTACGCTACTCTGTTCAGAAGCATCCACAGAGTATTGCTGCCTGGAATTGCTATTACAGATTAGTCTTAAGGTACTTAATACCCTTGCATATCTTATACAAAGCTTAGTATTCCTCTGTAACAATCTACAACTTTGTTAAAACAACCAGGTCAGCATCTGATTAAGTGAATTTTTTTTTTAGCATGGTTTTGTTGATGTATGTGTATGACTTATATGCTTGTTTGAATAAATCAAGTAAAGATCACTTTCCTTTCTAGGATTAGAGAATCTGAAAAACTACGAGTATCAAATTTCTGATTCCAGGCTAGAGGCTGCAAATCTAGGAGATGATATTGATTTTGCTTTGTAATTCTACTTGTGTTTTGGCTCGAAAAACACGTATTCACATTAATTGTTACTAGAAAATGTACCTGTACGACAGAATCTACACAGTTCAATTTTATATAAATGATAAAGAGTATCATACATTGTCTATAAAGTTGCATCTTCAATTCTTGATTGAGTTGCAAATAGAAGGAATTTTATCCCTCCTTAGTCTCTCTGGCCATGCTCTAACAAGTAATTTAGAAAAGAAAAAAAAACAAACAAACACATACAAAAATATGAATGACTACCAAGTGTTTTCTAGTAATTACTTGACCAAGGTTGTTAATCAGTGTCACCTTACAAATTAATATGCTAATCAGAGTTTTAGAAACTTTTCATTTGCTGTATGTCTTCTAAAGCTATCTGCTTTATTATGGAGCTAATGGAGCTGTTCGTCATTTCTTTCAGGAAGCCTTGTACAATATAGCTCGTGCATCCCACCACGTCGAACTTGTCTCATTGGCAGCTAACTATTATGAAAAAGTTCTCACAATATACCAAGAAGATTGCCCCTTACCGGAGTTTCTCAAGTGGCATAAAGATCCTATAAAAAGATCCAGATTTTGGCTACTGTAATCTTCATAGGGAGGCAGCATACAATTTGCATTTGATCTAAAAAAAGGAGTGGAGCAAATGATCTTGCAAGGCAAGGGTATTGAGGGATTATTGCACCTTGTAAGATGTCTATATTATGAATGTACAGGGGAGGAAGTCAATATAGGCCGTGCGCCATACAGTGGCGGAGCCAGGATTTATAATTCGGGGGGACAAATTTTGGAGGTTAAAGTTTCGGCAAAAATCTCAAGAAAAAAATTGATAACCTAAATTGTTTAATATTTATTTGAAATCACATGCCAATTATTTCTATATGGAAAAAGAGGGGTAAAAAAGTTTTATTGTATATTAAGAAAATTATCCAACAAAAATGAATAAATTTATATTTGTAAATCCTGTTATGTAATCACATAATTGATAAATACGAATTAATTACCTTATCATAAAGTCAAATAATTATCGTTAAAACAAATTGATGGTAGATATGAAGGGCCAGGGTTTGAGTTACATTCGAAAAAATAAACTCAACTTTTTCAAATCAATCATATTATTAATATGTATTTCGTTAAAACACAGTTACAAACAATTAATTAATAGTAATCTATTTATTAGAAATGTAAAAAAAAATTGAGTTTAAGCACACTTAGTTAAGCGATAATTAAAAACAAGAAGTAGGAAATAAGAAATAACATTAAAAATCCTAAAACAAGAAATAGGAAATAAAAAATCAAATTAAAAAGGTTGTTGAAAATTAGAGTATGTAATAAAAAAAACAAGAAGTAGGGGAAAAAAAAAACAAAAAAGCTGAAAAACAGTAGAGTAGGGAATCGAACCTAGGACCAAAACACAGCCTTACTAAGGACTCAACCACCAAACCATATTCAATATTGTGATATCTACTGTAAGTATATGTTATTTATAGCCTTTTACTGTATTTTCTTGATTTTTTTTTTTTAAAAAAAAACTTTTTTTCCGAAAATGGGGGGACAACTGTCCCCCCTTGTTCTAATGTGGCTCCGCCACTGGCGCCATACATATAATCATACTGGTTAGAGCATGTTTATGCTGTATATAATTATATGTTTATATTTTGTTTAGCAACAACTTTAGAGTAACTTTAAGGGGTCTGACTAAGTCAAGGTTCTAATAAAAACGAGTTAAATTTAAATTGATTTACACAATTGTATCAATTATTAATTGTAGAGTTCAATTTACATCACAAAAATAATAATTATAACATAAGAATTTTGCTTAGTGTAGATTGTGGATTTTTTTAATTTATTTTTTTCGTTTTTCCAATAGTTGTCCATTGTATTAAATTTTGAGTGACCCGTTGTACTCTGGATATTGAACTTATGTATTAAATTAATAAAATTTCGACTTATTTTCTTAAAAAAAATGGAGTTTTAAAATAGACAGAGTATGACTTCATTGTTTTTTTTTTACAATTCTGAACCCACGTATCAGAAATTCTGAATATGCCACTATTGCTTTGACAAAGTACTAAATCTCATACAAGCTTATCTACAATATGTATAATTATAATAGAGCTAACAAATATAATGAAGATCATCTCTTGAATGGTGAAGTAGATGAGTTTCTTTCAATTATTAAAACAGCTCGTAAAGAAAACCACCTCATGATTCAACCATTCATTTATAGTAAACAAAGTACTATTATATAGATGATTAATAGAGAGTGAGGAATAACTCAAGTGGATAGAGCTTCCCTCCCGGTTTCAGGAGATCATGGGATCGATTCTTATCCCTGCCGTTGTGGCTCCCTAAGCACCAAAAATTAACATTAATCGGTTGCAACAACACGTAAAGAGTGGGAGAAGATAAGGGAATCCCAGTCCTCCAAATTGTCACTAGTGGGGGATTGAACCCCTGGGAGGTGCTCTTCTTTCCACTAGACCAAACTTGGCTTGGTAATATAAGTGTCACATTTTAACTACATACTAGGTTGTTCAATTGATATAACAAGGTGCTTCTTGCGGCTTCTAGGAGAGTCAAGTCACAATGGCCAGCAAAAATAGCTCAAGGAAGAGCTCTCCTCTTTGCTTTGCACACGTGCTTGCTCGAAGATCTTTTGTCTATAAGCTGTAACTTTATTTCTTTTATGTGGTCTCGTGTAAAAAGATATGGTAAAAAAGGTTGTCCATCATCTAGTTAAGATCGTTCCTAGTGGTGTCGAACAAGTTTGGGTGGATCATTGTCCTATGGAGGTTTTCCCACATATAACTCTCGAACTATTTGTCACTCGATTAATATATTTGTTCGGCGATTTTCTAAAAGAATTGTTTGATAAAACGTTGTAGTTAAAAAAGTAAACGGACTTAACCAAAAAAAATGTATAACTTATAATTAATTACTTTAAAAAAAATTTGGGAAACATAAGAAGATATGATAAAGATATGAGACATCAAAAAAATGAATAAATAAGTGCTTTAAACAGACCATTTTGAGAGGAAATGGAGGCTTTTGCGACAGTTAGCATGAAGGTTTTGCCTTTGCTTCATTGTGATAGTATTAGATGAGCAGTATCCAGTTTTCTTTTTCCTCTTTTTTCTAATTTTTTTGGCTTTTTTTTTTTTTTTCTTTATTTTTTATTTTATTTTTTCTTCCTTTTATTCTTCATCTTTTTGGTTCCTTTCGACATCCAACTACCCCACTATTATGTTGCGTTACATATTCTTCCATAAAACTCGTTCAATAATCTTTTGATGGGTTTCATTTTCCTTCAAAAACTTGGTACTCTTGTGTTAAGATGATTTCATTTTATGATCAAGGATACAACTAGTGTAATACAGTATGTATATATGCCTATTATCAGCAAGCCACCCTTAAATAAACTACTGAATCGAGTTATGTTTTCATCTCATGAAATAAGAACGTAATACAATCAGAATTGTTGATTTGATCTGTTGTGATTTAAATGTTAGATTTTAATTTACTGTAATTCTTTTTAAAAAAATAACAACGGGCGGAGTAATAATAACTTGAATAATGTCAAATTAACATAGCTTATGGATTTTATTGTTCTTTGCAATGCATTGACGCTTTGTAACTTTATACTTTGTACTCCGTAAATAGCAAACGATATGAACTTCATTGGTTTATCTCTTTTTGTTAGTCTATTAATAATCTATTTGATAGATGTTGATGTGTCATTTTTATTACTAAATCCATGTCACGTTTTTGGAAAGTATGGAAACCTTTGCTCCTTACCACATCATATCATCTTTTAATCTTGCTTTTGATATTGATACTATGTCAAAGCTCAACAACTTCCTTACAATTATGGTGTTTTCACTACTTGCAAAATGGTTAAGTTTTTGCATCTTTACTCAAGTATGTTGAGTTCTTACTTACGGGCTAAATTCGATATGTCTGCACATAAACTTTCCATCCGACCAAGGCAAATTTAAGGCGTCATTTTACAAATCCTCATATTTTTGAATTTAGCACTTGTGAATTGTAATCAAGCTAACGCATCAAATTCAGCAAATTCAATAATTTGAAAACAAGCAGGTGTTTCTGTTTATGTGCCCTTGCAAGATACATCTTAATGGCTTTGTTTGGTTCATCTACGGGTCTGTTCTCATACGTTTATTTTCAGTTCAGCTCCTAATTTCCTTCTCTTATAAAATATTCAGTTCAATTCAGCTCAATTTAGCTAATTTCAGTATATTAGAACAAGCCCTATGCGTGTTTAAACTCACAACATACTTCGAATCTCAACCTTCTACCTTATGGAGTCATGGTGCATACTCCACAATCTCGTCTTTTGGTCTTTTGTTCATCCAACCTATAAATCCTCTAATACCATATTCTAGTGGTAAGACCAGTTTGATTCGTGTCGTGGTGTTGCTAATGTCATTGGCAAAACTAATTGTTAGCTCGAGAATCTACTTCCTACCCTCCATTGACCTCATTACACGGTCGCCACAATAGTATTCAAAATGAAAATGTCAATGTCATTTCTCTCGCAAACTCGTGCAATACTAACACATCAAACACGCAAAAGTTTTGTCCATTCAATTGAAAATTCACATTGACATAATTCTCCAGCCTACCACGATTGAATCCAGTCGCAATTTCGAATTTAAATTAAGATTTAGGTTATCTCGAGACGATTGCGATCTCGAGATAACCAATTACCATACAACACGAATACACGATCAATCTATTTTCAATTTCATCCACACAAAACCATTCAATAACATTTCTAAAAGAGTACGTAGTATATGGACAACATTTGGAAAATTACAATCAATTTGTAAGGCTTAAGTTGAAATTGATAAATAAATAATTACGAAATCGAATAACTAAATTTGAAAATAATCAAATCAAATAAAGAATGATGAATAATTGAATAATAATAACCAAGTTAGCCACTCAACAATTTTCTTTTTAAATTACAACATACTCGTAACAACAAATAATAATACAAGTAGTACTACTCAACCCATTTAAGTTCATGGTTAAATCTCTTAAATATATTATAACTACTATAGAAGAATTACTTAAATTTTAAATTATTTTTTTTCTTTTTTTTTTCCTCCGTAAAAAAGAGAAACAAACAAATAATAAAAATACAAAAAAAAAAAAAAAAAAAAAGTCACAACGCATCTTGCAATAATGACAATAATACCCCTCATCCCCAACCACCCACTCACCCACCACCTTATCCACCATCACCAATCAACCAAAGCCTCAACCATCTAAAATTTTTCATTTTTTTTCCCATTTTCTCTCTCCTTTGACTCAAAGTTTGACCACTAAACTTTTAAGATCTTAGCAGCTCTAACAACAGGATTTTCCCGTGCAATCGTTTCTCTTCCTGCAGTTTTATAATCATAACTGCAATCATGTCGATCTGAATACCTGTGTTCTGCACAAAACAGATCTCCACATCTACATCGAAACCCGGTTAACCCGACCCGTTTACCGCAACCCAAACACCGATTCACCGCCTTTTTCACCGTCGTTACCGACACCTCCACGGTGGTCGTCGTCGTCATTTTTGTGGTCGTCGTTGTGGTGGTCGATACTGGACGGTCTTCCTTAAACGACTTCGTTTCAACCAGAGGTTGATGGGTTTCTTCTTCGTTTTCTGCTCCTCGTTTGGATCTGGGTCGGGCTGGATCCGGATCTACACGGGTCATATCGGGCCGGGTATTGTTTGAAGATGAAGATGTAGATGTGAGTTTTTTGCAATTATCTGGGCAAGAGAGAGAAAGGGGTGTTTCAGCTGATACTTTCAGCTCCAAAGTCTCATCTTTCTCTCTCTTCTGCGCCATAATTTTTCTGGGTTTTATTTTTTATTGAATGATTTATTTGCAGAAAAAAATTCTGGGTTTTGGAGAGAGAAGATTGAGAAATGGTGGGTTTTTTTGTTTTTTTTTTTGAGTTTTTTTTGGGCAAAGAAGATAGAGAGAAGAAGAAATGGAGGATGGAATTTCTAAAGGATGATGTTGTGGGTGGAGTTTAAGGGTCAGGGGTAAAATAATCAAAAGGTCGGCAAATGGGAAAGGAAATGAAAAAAAAAGGAAAATATAAAATAAATTTATTAATCAATATTAATAAATATAATGGAAAAAGGAAAATATAAAATAAAATTATTAGTTGATGTTAATAATTTTGCTCATTGGAAAGCGGAGCACCACATTTTATGCCATTATATAGACGATTATAGTCATATGACTTCATTATAATTAAGCTTTTCCTTCATGTGGGGGTTTCCCTTTTTAGTAATAGGTATCTTATGTTAAGGGTATTTTTGGAAATTTGTATTTGGTATTGTTGTGATTTTCCAACACATTGTACCTACTTGATTGGCCTCCTATTAATAATAAGAATTATATTATTAATAATAATAATACTACATTTTAATTTGATGTATAAAATAATATTAAGATAATATTTATTGTTGAGTAGGGAAGAAGAGTAATAGTAGTAGAATTATGGTTTCTTTTTATGAAAAGGATGGATGGCAACATAGCTAAAAAGATGAGGACCACAATAGAGG